AAAAAGACAAAAGACAAAAAAAAAAAAACAAAAAAAAAAACAAATGGGGAGGCAGGGGAGAATTTATCTTTCTGAAGTCACAATATTCACCTTTGGCCGATACTTCCCATAATAAAATACCACCTTTAATCCTCACCAGAGTCCTGGGAGAGAGAAGTTCTTATGTCTGTTTTACATGTGAGCATGTAGCCCCAGCCTCCCAGGGGAGTTGGCCAAGTGACCTGCCTGAATGCCACAGTGAACGAGAGTTAGAGCAGATACGGTCCAGACCTTTTCCAGCCATGCTGTGGCCAATTTCTTAATCTTTAGAGATTGAAAGGATCATTGGATTTGCCTGGAAGCAACTGTAGAAGATGTCTGTATCTTCTAGACCTTCAAAACCAGACTGTGTAGTAGGGTCTGCTTGAAGAACAGCATCCCTTTGACATAGCATATTCTTTCCACGTGTGTATACGAGGGTACTTCAAAAAGTCTATGAAAAGGTTTGTATTATCTTTTAATTCTATTTTTCTACGAACGTTTTGAAGTTCCCTCATATTGGTATTTTTAATAGGTATGTTTTAAAATACAAAATAGCTCTTGTTTCTTTGCTATCTAGCAGGAGTGGATTAGACCCTTAAGTATTCCTTCTGCCCAGAGGACCCTTCGCCTGTGAAATAATTGCCAGTGGCTTTGATTTGGTCTAATGGTGGCCCAGGGCTACTGGGAGGAGTAAGATTCCATTCATTTTGGCCATTTTGTAGAAAGAAGAGCTTAAGTTTACTACTAGTTACTACCTTCCAGACCACTGTTCTGAGTCAGGACTTAGTGTCCTGTAGGTGGTTAGTGAGCCATTTATTCTCCTTCTGATAAGCAGGGAAGCAACACGACTGGCCCCTCCTAAATTGGCAGAGCATGCCGTCACTGTTTATTTAGCGTCTGCGTTGTTCCCAAGGTGGATTATTTCAGCAGTTTGGAACTGGGAGTCGGCCTGGGCCTGCGCTCGTCTCTCCATCTGTTCCAGAACTCAGGAAACTGCACTATTTACAGTAAGAAAAGGATGAAGAAAGAGAACTGCAGTAAATGCTGTGAGAAAATCCCAAGGACAGAACCCACTTGTCGGGGTCTCTGTGGGCTGTGGTCCACAGGCCCCTAACCTGCTGGGGGAGTGGCACATTAGCTGTGGAGGGCCCACAGAACACAACCCAGAAGGCCTTTGTGATCATGCACAGGATAGTTACCTGCCAAAGGTGGGGGGGGGTTACCAGGTGGTATCTGGGGGATTATATCAGGCCTCTGCTCCGCAGGATAGAAACGCAGAGCAAACCTCACAGTTCTGGCCATACTCTTCCGGAGAATGTCCCTAAGGAGGGGAGAAAGGAGGGAGATTGGCACAATCTGCTGCTTCCACTGGGAAGTTCTGTTCGGGGGCTTTGCTGCGGAGAGCGTGCTTCCCGCACAGCCTCCCTACCCCACAGTGTGCAACCAGCAGAATGCCTTCAAACCAGAGAGAAGAGGTGTGGCCTGTCCTTGTGTGGCGAGTGGCACTGATGGCAGCTTTGTTTTGTAACCCCTAGGTCCTGAAGATGGCATAGTAATAAAGGCACCTTCCAATGACTGTGAACATCTTTATCCGTGGGAGCCGGCCCAGGCCAGTGGCTTTGTGTTGAGCTGAAGGAACTTGTCTACTGCTTTCCTGAAAACCTCTTTCCTAATTCATGAGCCAGCAGGATGCGGTCGCTGCGCTTTCAGAACGCCTTCTCATAGCCGCATACAAAGGCCAAGCAGAGAATGTGGTTCAGCTCATCAACAAGGGCGCCAAGGTAGCGGTTACCAAGGTAACAAGAGGAAAATACCCTGTAGCCATTCTCTGGGAACCAGCCTGCCTCTTAACCATTGTCCGCAGAACTGTTGTGTTTGGTTCACAGCTTTCAAAGAAATGGCTTTTCTTCCAGGGATGGAGGTCTGGGGAGAAGGAAGGAGGGTTAAGCCTGCTTTCATTGCCATCTTTCAAGTAGAGTAACTTGTAAACTGTTGTGTTTGGTTCACAGCTTTCAAAGAAATGGCTTTTCTTCCAGGGATGGAGGTTTGGGGAGAAGGAAGGAGGGTTAAGCCTGCTTTCATTGCCATCTTTCAAGTAGAGTAACTTGTGATTAGCAATGGACTGTCTTTAAAATCAGAGTGTGGCTTTTCTCACCTATTTATTTAGCCAAATGGACAGGAGACCTCTTGGGAGAAGTTGGGACACAAAAGCTTACTGGGCAGAGTGTTTGTGTGATAATCATGTTAGCCAGACCTCCTAGGGAGGTGGACCAGCCTGTGGTTGGGGCAGCCCCTCCACTGTGCAAAGTCTCATTGTCTCTGTCTGTACAGTGATGGCCTGGACCAGGTAACCCCCATGACCTTTATGGGCTTTGATTTCACATGCTTCAGTGAAAGTGTGTGGTAAGCTTTGGGGGATGTTTCTTACCCCTCACCAACAGATAATACCATAGTAGATAAGAGCCCATGCTGGCCAAAGGCAGTTTTGTGGTAAAGCCAAGAGAAGGCAGGCTCTGCAATTAGATGGCAAGTTTAAATATATCAAGGAAGTAATGCTAATGGCAAACCCTTATCGAACACTTATTATTGCTCTAAGCACTTTACAGCCCTCTAAAAGTGGTTCTCTCTTCATCCCCACTTTGCAGATGAGGAAACTGAGGCACAGAGAGATTTAACTAACATGCCCAGGATCTCTCAGCTTCTGAGTGGGAGAAATGCAACTGTACTGATGGAGTCAGGCTCCTTAGCCCACCCTCCAGGCCATCCCAGAGAGAGCTGTGGAGAGGGGCAAAGTTTAATTTTCAAAAAATGACATCTATTAACCTCTACCATCCTATGGCAGAGACTGGTCTGCTCACGGTCTCACAGTTACCCATATGTGGTCTCTCTATTCCATGCTGGTGTCTAGGGAGATAGAAAATCTTGAGCTACTAGTAAGTCACCCATGGGCCTAACAGTGGTCTGCACATACATGGTGACTGTATTGTCCAGAACTGAGGGTAAAGGGAGCCTTAATCTAGGCCTTCTGTCATCTGTCCATAGCAATCTTCAGGCCCCAGGCAATCACAGATGGGAGAACATATGGGAACTCTGTAGTTAGGGCACATGCTCACAGATTTGAACTCTGCTTTGTTTGCCAGCTGTGCAAGTCACTTGACTTCTTTGAACCTCAGTTTCCTTGTCTGTAAAGTGAAGATAGTAATACCAACTTTTCATGGTTGTTATGATAACAGTAACTTCTTTAAATCACTTAGCATATAGTCTGCACATTTTTTCTTTTTAAAATAGACTTCATCATTTGCTTTCTAAAAAACAACTTTATGGGCCAGCCCGGTGGCGCACTGCTACAGTGCGCTGCTTGGGAGCGTGGTGGCGCTCCCGC